AATGATGGACATCCTTAAGCAAGAATTTTGGATATCAAAACTCAGAATGAAAATAGAGAATTATCTTAAAAATTGTATAACGTGTATTATGGTGAAGAGAAAGACAGGTAATCCTGAAGGTTTTCTAAATTCAATCGAAAAAGGATCTACGCCGCTAGATACTTATCATATTGATCACCTTGGTCCTTTACCTTCTACCAACAAGAACTATAAGTACATTTTTCCTGTAATAGATGCTTTTAGTAAATTTCCTTGGTTATATCCAACCAAAACAGTGAACAGTAAAGAAGTGATAGGAAAACTAGATAGTCAACAGAAAATTTTTGGCAATCCTAGAAGAATAATTTCCGATAGAGGAGGTGCATTCGTATCTAATGAATTCCAAAATTATTGTTCAAAAGAGAATATTGATCATATACTGATCAACTACCGGAGTACACAGAGGAAACGGACAAATCGAAAGGTTAAACAGAACCATAATATCATGTCTAAGTGCTTTATCAGTAGAAGAACCGGAAAATGGTTTAAGTATGTGGAAAGATTACAACAGATTCTTAACAGAACTAACTATAGAAGTATAGCCGTCTCCCCATTTAAAGTTTTAACTGGAATCGATATGCGTTATTCTGAAGATCTAAAATTACAAGAATTACTAGAAAAAGATTTGATACAAAGACTAGATGAAGAACGATCTCAAGTACGAGATGATGCTGGAAAACAAGTAGCACGAATTCAAGAAGAAAATAAAAGAAATTACAATAAAAGAAGAAAGAAAGCAAGAGTTTATGAAGTTGGTGATTGGGTTGCAGTTAAACGAACACAGTTTGGAAGTGCACTTAAGTTGAGAATAAAGTTTTTAGGACCTTATACAGTAATTAAAAGGATGTTTAATGATCGTTATCAATTAGAGAAAATTGAAGGAGAAGGTCCGAGATGTACTACAGCATCAGCAGATCATTTGAAGCCATATCCACAAAATAATGATGTTTGGTCATCATCCGAGTCGGAATGAAGAGCAATTGAACTATTTTCTGATAAAATAAATGACTAATACAGTTTTAATGTTTTAATGTTTATTTATATGTCAAAAAAAAAGTTTTTGGACAGACGTCATACAAAATATATATGTATACTTCAACAATGAGTATCTAAAACAGTAACTTAACTACTACAGTTCGGTCATACGGTGGACATTACTTAGGAATTCTTCTACCGAGTAAAAGGCCTCAGACACCAAAAAATGTTTAACACGATTTTTAAAACGCGCGGTGTTCATGTTCTTTATGCAATCCGGTAGTTTGTTATAAAGTTTTGTACCCTGGTAGTCTACACCTTGCTGGGTCATCTTAAGACGGTGATACGGAACCCTTATAGAGTCTTTTTGTCGCGTATTATATTCGTGATGTACGGAGTTTATGTCATAGAGATGTGTATTATTATGTACATGGTTAACACAGGTAAGTATGTACATGCAGGGCACGGTAAGTATATCAATTTTTTTAAAATGTTCTTTACATGATTCTAAATTTTTTAGATTACACAAAGCGCGGATACAACTCTTTTGTTGCTTAAACACCCTGTAGATTCCCGGACCCGAACCCCAAATGGAGATGCCATATGAGGCCACTGCATGAAAACAAGAGAAATATGCTGTTCTTACTACTTCAGGTTCGGTACACTTCACCAATCTTCGCACCATAAAAACTGCACTCGTGAGTCTTCTACAAAGGGCACTCACATGGTCATCCCAGGTGAGACGATTGTTCAACTTCAAGCCAAGAAAGTTCACCACGTTATAGTTTCCTTTCGTGAGAAAGTTAATTTTTTGATTCTTTTGTTCATTGAGGATGAGCTTGTTCGCTCGCAACCAATCAGACGCGTCTTCTAAGACATCGTTAGTTCTCAATTGTGTTTCTTCTCTCGTTTTCCCTTTTACTACGAACGACGTATCATCCGCATATAGATACGTTTCTGAGTTTTTTATGTTTCGAGGAAGATCGTTCATATACAGTATAAATAAGATCGGTCCCAGGATTGATCCTTGGGGTACACCGTATCTATTGTTTTTCACATCGGATATTGAACCATTCCAAGCGACATATTGTGTTCTGTTACTCAGATACGATTTCATTAGACTTAGTGTTGATCCCCGTACGCCGTAAAAGGCGAGCTTATCCAGTAATAGATTATGGTCCACCGTATCAAAAGCTTTGGTGAGGTCGCAACAGGTCATTTCCACGCTTTCTCGATTGTCATGAGCTTCCGTGACATCGCGTATCATTCGGGTAACAGCTGTGATCGTCGATCTTCCGGTCCTGTAACCATGTTGGCTGTCGTCAAATATTTTATTTTTTTGTAAGTAGCTGATTAGTCGGCGTTTTATTACTTCTTCGAAGATTTTCGAAAACACTGGAAGGAGGGCAATCGGTCTGTAATTTGAGCAATCGTTGTCATCTCCTTTTTTGTAAATTGGAACGATCCTGGCCTGTTTCATCCTTTCGGGAAAAACTCCCTCTTCAATACATTTGTTTAAAACCATACAAAGCGGTTCAGAGATTTCATTCGCAACTTTCTTTACAACAGCTGTTGAATGTCCATAGACATCTTCGCTCTTTTTGGTTTTTAAATGATTAATTATATTTGTTATCTCGTCTTTGGTACAGGGACTAAAGTAAAGACTTTTTGAAAAAATTCTTGCTGTATTCTTTACGTAAACGTTGGAACTCGTCGTTGTCGGATTCAAACCCTTTACCAGTTTTTCAACTTCTTCAGCGTAGTAGTTACTAAAGTTTTGTGCAGTTAAATTCGTTCCTACTTCTTTTTGTGCATGATGATAGGATCGTTCCTTATTAATAACCTCCCACATCTTTTTTTGTTTATTATCGGCCGTTAAAATGTTTCTCGTGTAATGTTTTTTCTTTTCGCTCTCTAAGAGATCAAAGTACTTTTGTTTACATTGAGCATATTTGTCGTAGGATTCTCTGGACCTAGTTACAGAGGCCAGCCACCCCAAAAGATCTAGTGTGTCCCTTTGATTTCTAGTCTCCTTAGACATATAAATTGTTTTAAATTTAGTATTCCGTTTTTTCTTATAGGCAAACGGGAAACAATCATCGAAGACTGCACAGAATATATTATGAAAAACATCATACAACTCACCTGCGTTCTCGGATTTTTGGAGAGGCTGCCAATCCACTGTGGAAAGAGCGATTTTAAAAAAGTGAGTGTTCTTATCGTTATAAATTCTTTTTTTAATTTTTTGTGTTTTTTCCTTTTTTAGATCTTTGTTGGTTATCATCAGTATTTGTCCGTAGTGGTCACCGATGTGAAGCTGCATCGTGGTGTTTCTTAGACAATTGTTATTTAGGTTACAAAATATATTATCAATACAACTACTAGTTTTTCTATTCACTCTAGAGGGTGAGTCAAACGTTTGTTGCAGTCCAAATTCCCTCATCAATTCTAATAGGTCGGCTTTATTGACACTTTCATGCAGAAAATTGATATTGAAGTCTCCTGATACTATAAGTTTATAGTTTGGATAATTTTCATCAATGTGAGTTAGGATCTCGTTTAAGGCACTTAGATAGGTATTTATGTCGCCGTCAGGAGACCTATAGATGGACAGGATTATCATCTTCCTGCCTGTTAATTCAACTGCTGACGCCTCAATGTGCTGTTCAATACTTTTATCTTTAACATACCTCAGTTCCTTGTATTTTATACCGGTTCTCAGCAGAATACCCACGCCCCCGCCTCTTTTGTGTGTTCTACAGTACAGTGAAGCCCATTTATGAGTATTTGTGGCGATAACCTTTTCTGCATGTAACCAGTGCTCGGTGACACACGCTACATCTACTTTGTGCTCATTTAGCACTGTTTCAAACGCATCAATTTTATTATTTAATGATTGAGTATTGATATTCATGACTACTAACCAGTGTTTATTGGTTCTTTCGTTGCCCTCGAAAAAAACGAAAGGGTTTGACTACTACACCTTTCGGCCAGAGATCGTGTTTTGTAAGATCGTCAAGTAGGTGAAAGTCAAAACCTACTTTAAAGGACTTTGCCAGACTTTCGTTTCCGTTGCCTTTCGGAATTTCGTCAATTATAACAGATTCAAGTGGAACTCGGGCCGTGAGGTATTGTCGTAATTTTTCTGCTGTGGTTTCCTTGCTTAGCTTTCCTACATAGAGCCAGGCTTTTTTTTCTGCTGCCTTAATAATTTCGTTGTCTGTTACCTCGGCAGTACCAGTGATGCGTGCTGAATTCTTAGGTTTACTAAAATTCTTCTTTTTTCCGTGATTATTACTGGTTGCTGAAGCTGTGGATTCTGATGCGGAAGCCTGCTTCACGTTATCCGAAGTTTTGGCGCTCTTAGAACTATTTACCCTCACTTCACTATTTTTTCCTCCTTTCTTACTTCTTTGGATCGAATCCTTTCCCAAAAGGTTGGATTCTATCTTTGTTGACGTTTTTTTGTTTTTTAAATCATACGGCACGTTCACATTCACATCTGTGGGGTTATCGCCCTGTTGTTGTTTGTCAATGTGAGACAGGTTTTTCTAAGCCGGCGTCTTGTTATTTACGAGTATATTTAATAAAGATATCTGTTTCTTAAGTGAATCAATATATTCACGTAGATCAGTTATTATAATATCTTTGTGTTTCAGAAGTTCTTTTAGGTGCGTTAAGTCCTTTAAGTTATTTTCCTCATGCACATCCACCGCACTCCCGAACGATAATTCAAGTTCCTCGTCAGTTTTTACCGGTTCGATTACACCGTCACAACACGCTATTGTTGTTTCGTTAATTATTTTAACGGTTTTTAAATGTTTTACGCAACTATGATGCGACACTACACCGCAATTAATACACTTAAGACCCGTCAGAGCAATTTTATTGCATCTTTTGCAAGTTTTACCGGCGAGATCGGACAATGTTGAACCGTTCTGCGCCATGACACTTTTATTTAATGTTGTAAATGAAAGAGTGTAAAATATGTTTAAAGACTAAATCTTTAATAGTTTGTCACTTTACATTAATAAATACTTTAGTTTGTTACTATTAAAACAGGTGTTTTTTAATTTGACAATCTAATCCTACATTACATGTATTCATTTTTTATTTATTATCAAATTATTTTTATTTTTTACAACTCATTATATCGTTTATAGGATAAATCTTGGAATCGTTTCAAATGTTGTTTAGGTTTTATCATCATTTTAGCAGCTTTTAAAGGTTCATATTTTAACCAGGAAAACCAAATAATTCCCGTATTATCATTTGTAAAGTTTTTATAAGGAAATCCGTTTAAATTCGCATAGAAACACTTATCGAACCACCATCCGTTTCCATAACCAACAGCACAAGCAAGATAGGGGCTATTATCATTATCTTTATCATAAGTACTAAATTTTATGTTATTATGATAGAGGAGATCATTTGAGAGCGACCCACTAAAACGTCCGAGTGTTAATCGATAATTTTCATATTCACTTGCAACTTTAAATGATTCATATTCAGCCCATTTTTTTTCGTTATCATAACTTTCCAATTCAATTCGTAATATTAGGTCGTTTTGATTCGATAATCGGTGAAGATAATCGTTTCCGAACCAAAATTCTCTCCGTAAATCGCCAAAACCATGTTTATATTGGTACCAAGATTTATTGAAATTTTCCTGGTATTCGAATAAATTTCTGTTTTGGATCACCATCCAACCCTGTTCGCACGATCTCACTCCATAATCTCTCGTTTCTTCCTTTAAATTAATTAAATTTGTGTGAAATTTGAATATACCAGATTGGTTTTTGACAGAGGTGCAAAATGTGTAATCGAAAGAATTTGATAAAGTCAAAGATTCTTCATCGATTATTATGTTTGTGTTCGTTTCGTCTGGTTTGTTGCATTTTTTAATCAGTTTTTCGATATTTTCATTTTGCGATTTAAAATTTTCTTTTAAATTTTCTGTGGTATTTTCGACATTGTTTATTTTACTTAAAACGTTTTCTAAAAGTTCATCTTGATGTTTTTCTTCTAGTTTATTATTAATTTGATTAGTTGATTTTTCTAACACATTTATCTTTATGAAAATTTCATCGAGATGGACTGGAACCCGATTTAGTTTGTAATCTAAATTTTTTAATTCATCTCGAGTGTTTTCGATTAATACGATTGCAATTTTATCGGCTTCTTTGGGCTTAGTACAGTTTTCCATTAGATTTTCTATGTTTAAATTTTGTGATTTAAAGTTTTCATTGAGAACGTTTTTGATGTCGGATTTATCACACGAAACTTTTAAATCTTCTACATTAATTTCGATTTGGTTTATTTTACTTAAAACTTTCTCTAAAACTTCACCTTGATTTTTGTCGCTAAATTTATCATTAAAGGAATGTTTTAATTCATTAATGATTTTCGTGGACATTTCATCAAACATCGTTGGAATTAGATTTAATTTTGTTTCTAAATCGTTCATTTTAGCTTGAGATCTAAAAATAAAAATTTCTGTGGCTATAAAAACAGTAACTATTTAGTTAACTCAGTTATTACTTGCTTATAATACCTAATTTTCTATCGAGAATTGATAGTTGAGAATGCAAAGATGAAACCTGTGACTGAACAGTATCACAAACTTGTACTTTTTCTTGTAAATTTCTTATATTAGTGTCCATTATAGAAAGGAGATTGTTAATGTTATTGAAATCATCACACTTGTTCGGTTTTTCTTCTACAAGTATAAAATTGTTAATTAAAAATAAATTATTAGTTTTTATTACAGTACTTACTATTATTCGACATGGATTCTATTGAATTTGGAGTAAATAAAAATATTGCAACAAACAAGAAATTCATCTTCACAATCGCGTTTGCCAATATGTATAACATCTTCAATCTCTTTAGGTTATATATAATCACGTCACTAAAAAAATTTCAAGGGCAACTTCTTCATCGAAGTTGGCCCGATCCTTTTCGTTTTGGAGATTCTCGATGTTGTGCAGAAAACGGGTTTATTGTTATGCCAAATAAGTACCTCGATTTGAATTCTTGATAAGAAAATATTAATAAATTAGAAATCAGATGGATTTACATATAAAGTGGCAATTATCAAAGATTTGATACAAATGTTTTCAGGCTTATTTAAGCAAAGAGTAAATATAATTTTGCTTCTTACATGTAGCAAGTTTAAACAAAACTTACAGTAGCTGTAGCAACTGAGACTGAAATTGTTAACAAAATCCGTAGAGAAATGTAGATATTACGAAATGAATGGGTTAGATTGTTATCAACTATATAATTTAGATTGGCAATTGTAGCCTCCAGGTTCATCATGGTGAGTATTAATAGGATAAAAAAGAATAAGTCCACGATGATTATTTATTATTTTTTTCTAATTTCGGTACAACAATGTTTCGCTTTTTCTAAAAGCGTCTTCAGGTACGACTAGAATAATGGAAGATAATTATTACTAGTTGACGGGTTTTTTGTTGGTGATATAAAATTAAAATTATAAAAAGTTCTTACCGTCAAAAACTAAGAATGATGAACACGTGAAAAAATGATCATGTGGAAAAACTTCTCTTACAAAAACTACGACGAACCGATGATTAAAAATATAATTTTGGATTAAAGATTTAAGTGAAATTTTTGAAAACGGCGTGGGTTTACCATGTCAGGTTAAAAACTTCAACGTCGGGTGATAGGTTAAAAAAGATTTTGAAATGCTGAAGGCAGGCGTAAAAAACTGTAAAAGTTGAAGGCGTGTTATAAAAAAGGGAAATTTATCGTTAAAAATCTAAAAGAAAAGGGTATTAATATTATTGAAAGCGTATTATAACGTTAAGTGTTACCAAAAAACTTGAGTCGTGTGCACATATCGACTGGTTACAACGGACTGAGGTCAGTTAAAAGAGGAAGTAAGTAATATGACAACTTAAGAAAATGAAAAATTGGTATCAGGATGTGACAAACCAAATGCAAGAGCGGTGAGTTTGAAATTATATGAAAGGTGTAAAATATCTATTATAAAAGTTAAAATCAGTAATTTCATTCAAAATATGTTCAGGGTTTTTAATGTGGTATGATTTTATATAGTACTCCTCAAATAGAGTCAATTAAATAAAACAAAATTTTCCTCTTTCTTGCTATTTATTTTATTATGCTTCTAAATCGATTTCGAGGAAACAATCCTCATCTTCAATAGAATCTTATATAAAAATTTTTTTTAAAAACAATATGAAATAAATCCAAAGTTTCTATA